AGCCTCCGAGTAACTGGGACTACAGGCGCCCGCCACAACGCCCGGCTATTTTTTTGTTGCAGTTTGGCCAGGGCCGGGTTCAAAGCTGTCACCCTCGATACTGAACCACAGGCACCGCCCAGCCTTGAGTTATTTTAAAGTAGAAACTATATTATTTGCCCTTACCTTCTGGGACTTTGTACATAATGTGTACTCAGTAAAGTTTTGGTTAATGAATGAAAGAACTAATGGATGAATGAATGATTGCGTACCATTCACTCATTTAATAAACATTAAGTAGCATCTTCGCACTGCATTCGGGTCTAGGTCCTAGGAACACTCAAGGGGGCCCTTCTCTTCGGGAGCACTGAGCCTAGTGGTGGGAAACAGACAAGGCTAGTTTTGTATCAGAGGTATAATGGTGGCACTGAGAAGAGAGCACCATTTCAGTTTGGGCTAGGGAAGCCTTCCCAGAGTTGCTAAGTTTTAAAGTACAAATAATTCTCTTTCTCTCTCCTTCTAGACTTAAAACTTCCTCAAAGGTGAACTCCTTGAGAGTGTATGTCTTCTTTACCTATCAAATAGGCATTTAAAGACTGGTGTATTGAGTAACCAGTGGTTTCTGAAGGAATTGCTAGGAGGAAGAAGTCGAGTTTTAAAGGAATGAATGGGCTGGGAAACAGAGAGAGGTGAGAAGGAAAGGGAAAAGATTCTGAGGTCAAGGGAACATTAATAGCTATAGGCCCTTATGGGTCTTGAACCTGACAGCATTTGGACAGAGACAGCACAGAGGAATAGGAGGAAGGAGATTGTTCATCAGAGATTGAATCAGTAGAATCCTGAAGGGTCAGAATCTTAGAGACCTGTTGCTATGTGTTGGGTGTGGAGAGAATGGGGAGCATGGGGGATGAACTTCAGGGAAAGGGACTTGGGAAGCAAAGACTGTTGCTTGGTGGTGGGATGAATTGGAGGAGTTAGTATACCTGTTTAGGATTATTAAGGTGAGGGGAAGAGCTCAAGGCACAGGGAAATTTTAAAAGCAGCATTGGAGTTTCCTACCTTCCAGTCACTAAAGACTACTGATGTTTGGATACCAGTAGGTTGGTTAGATGTGGTGGCTGTGAAATTGCTTCTGAGGCCCCCCCTTTTAGCTCTTAAGTTTCTATGATTACAGTTGGCTCAGTGAGATATATTGGAAAGCACTTTGGAAAAAGGTAAGTAATATACTGAAGTTATTTATAGTTTTAGTCATGGGCTCTCCTTTGAGACATATACCTATATCTCTCAAAGAAAGATTTAATTATACATATATCGCTGTTCATTGAGATAAAGAGCAAAAGTTTTGGCAGAGGAGGAAAAAACTTAAATTTCTGATGTGAGACATTTTTTATTTTTGTTTCTTAGGTTTAAGGACTTAAGAGCTTTGAATAGTATAGTGTTCTTTCCAGAGTATCATGCCTAGGAGTTAATTTTATATGAAAGCATTAGCATTCATCCCAGAAACTTTCTTACTTGTTTTATTTCCCGAGAATGAATTGTCTGGAAATTCTGTGCAGACTGATATGTTTTTTGGCATGTTTAAGAAAGAAGGAACAGTCATTCTTTTAAGCTCCAAAAAGAACAGAGATCTGGTCTGACAGAGCTTAGTGTGTATTCAAGTTTCTACTAATGTCTTCCCAACTGTTTCTTTGTAGCCTTAACTTGTGAAAGAGAAAGTGAAATCCATCATTTAATATGGAGTCTACTGTGTGTCATGCACTGAGAATTCAGAAATGAGTAAGACAGGATATTGACCAGTTTACACTCTAGCGAAGAGACATGCAAATACTACATAACTGATATAATGGAAATATGTAACAGAGGCAGTGGGACGCAAGAGATAAGTGATTGAGTTGGCTAGAGGGAGTTAGTGAATTCTTTATGAGAGAGATAGGTTCAAGCTGAAAAATTGAAGTTTAGGCTCGGCGCCTATAGCTCAACCGGCTAAGGCGCCAGCCACGTACACCTAAGGTGGCGGGTTCGAATCCCCAGCCCGGACCCGCCAAA